GTTTAGAAGCAGTTCTCAGAATTGACTTTACACAGACTTTAAAGTATTAATAATAAAAAAAAATTGTAGTATCTCAATGATACTACAATACAGTGGCATGTGAAAGTTTGGGAACCCCTTGCAGAATCTGTGAAAATGTGAATAATTTTCTAACATTTATAATGGGTTTAGAAGCAGTTCTCAGAATTGACTTTACACAGACTTTAAAGTATTAATAATAAAAAAAATTGTAGTATCTCAATGATACTACAATACAGTGGCATGTGAAAGTTTGGGAACCCCTTGCAGAATCTGTGAAAATGTGAATAATTTTAACAAAATAAGAGAGATCATACAAAATGTATGTTATTTTTATTTATTTATTACTGTCCCGAGTAAGATATTTTACATAAAAGATGTTTACATATAGTCCACAAGACAAAAAAAAGCTGAAATTATTAAAATAACCCCCTTCAAAAGTTTAAGAATCCTTGGTTCTTAATACTGTGTGTGGTTACCTGGATGATCCACGACTTTTGATAGTTGTTCATGAGTCCCTTGTTTGCTCTGAACAGTTAAACTGAGCACTGTTCTTCAGAAAAATCCTCCATGTCCTGCAGATTCTTCAGTTTTCCAGCATCTTTTGCATATTTTCCGGGAAACATGCAAGTATCTTCTGTTGCTTCCGAAGGGCAGTACTAAATGGAAAAAAATTATATTTCAACAAAATAAGAAAAATTTGGACATCTTCATCCTGTTCAAAAGTTTTCACCCCCAGGCTCTTAATGCATCGTGTTTCCTTCTGTAGCAACAGTGAATGTTTGAACCCTTTTTTTAATAGTTGTGTTTGAGTCTCTCAGTAGTCCTCAGTGTGAAAAGATGGATCTCAAAATCATTCAGTCACTGCTGGAAAGGGTTCAAATATGCAAAAGATGCTGGAAAACTGAAGAATCTGCAGGACATGGATTTTGCTGAAGAACAGTGCTCAGTTTAACTGTTCAGAGCAAACAAGAGACTCATGAACAACCATCACAAAACAAAGATCATCCAGGTATCATCCAGGTAACCACACACAGTATTAAGAACCAAGGGTTCCCAAACTTTTGAATGGGGTTATTTTAATAATTTCAGCTATTTTTTTGTCTTGTGGACTAAATGTAAACATCTTTTATGTAAAATATCTTACTCAGGACAGTACTAAATAAAAAATAACATGCATTTTTGTATGATCTCTCTTATTTTGTTAAAATTATTCACATTTTCACAGATTCTGCAAGGGGATCCCAAACTTTCGCATGTCACTGTGTATATATATATATATATATATATATATATATATAGTGCCAAATAAATTGTTGGAAACAAATATAATAATAATAAATATAATTTTTATAATATAATATATATAATTGTTGATGTGAGACAATAGCTTGTTTTAATGATTTATTGCTCGTTCAATATAAGTAAATGAAACAATATATAAATTGGAAAATCTCAGTTTACTTGCCCTTTAAGTTAACTGTACTTAAATACTTGATTTAATAGGATTAGCTACAATTATTAAATTAAATTGAGGTTGACAGAGTTATTTTATTTATGTATTATTATAGTTTTTATTAATATTTTGATTTAGCTCTTATTTTTATATTTTCCGTTTTCATTTTATTTTATTTTTAATTTCTAACTATTATTTTCTAGTAAAAATGTAATGCTTTGTCATTTATCTATCTATTTATGGTTTAATTTATTTAGTTATTTTTGTTATTTATTATTAGTCATTTTAGTAATTTAGTTTATTTCTCATTCCGGTTAGTAATTTTAGTGCTGTAGGTCAGTGTAGTGTAGAGATGCGCAGATGAGCTCAAAATTCACCCGAGTCCGCTACTTCAAATAAATTACCTGCCCACCACCCACCGCACCTACATTTGATCGTCACATTACAATGATTCTAATTCTTAGTTTTGCATGATGATATGATGAATGTATGGTTAATTTTTAACGGCAGATTCAGTGATGTTAGAACTGATCTGTGCATCACTGCACACGTCTGCGGCGCATACGGCTCCACGGCCACTGGAGCTGATTGCGGCCACTCAGTCAATGCTTGTTTATACCGCGGCCCAGAACTCTTGCTTATCACATCGGTCACATCACATTTCCTAACTGGGTGTCTATACCGGACGTGAAAAGTTAGTATCTTTCTGCAGTCCAATAGACGGCAGTGCGGTGGTGGCTTGAGTCTGTTGAATGGTGATTTGATGCTACGTTGCCACCTAGTTGGTGAGACTCAATGCTATAAAGTAAATAAACAATGTCCCTGTCTTTTACTCTCACAATGAGCTTATCATACTCATTTGCTACATTAGTAGGGCCCTGTGATTTCCGCGATGCGGAAAACGCAGACGGAATCGTGGAATCCATTCATAAAAACAGAATTTACTGTATAACTCTGAATTTACTGAATTTCATGGAATTTGTCTTATTTTTAATGAATAAGTAAAAAACAGGTCAGTAGACTTAAATCAAATTGCAATATAGACTAGTGTCTGTGAATATTAAACTGTTGGTTTGGCAGTATAGCTTGCTTGCCCTACACAGTTACCTTGTTTATTTTCTTAATTCATGTTATATATATTTAGTTCTATTTGTGTTTTTTAAGTTATTTATAATAAGTAAAGTTTACTGTTAAGTGCACTGATGACTCATTTTGAATAATAAAGTGTATTGTTAAATTGTTAAATACCCTGCTTCCATTACATAGGCCTATTTGTCAGATAGTGACACACAAGTGTTTGATCACCACATTTGAGTTATCATTGCAAAAAAATGTGTTTATGTATATATATTCGGTTTATGTATATACTGTATTCTATATACAGTACCAGTCAAAAGTGTGGACCCTCGAATGGGAAGTGTGTCCAAACTTTTGACTATACTGTACTGTTATATAGCCTACACATTAGGGTTGTGACGGTGAGGAAATTTTCCCACCGGTTAATCGACGTGTGACAACACCGGTAATACCGGTATCACCGCGGGGACGGGGCGTTCCCTCTTTTCCTCACTTTACTTCGCTTTTAAATAGCTTGTAAAAGCGGTGTGCCCATTTTACTTTCACTTTCAAATAGCGGCAATTCGGCGTAAAGCAATTGTTCGTTTTTAGTTCGTTTGAATTTTCCCACTTTCCTCGCTTTCAAATAGCTTAAAAGTGACATTTTACTTTCACTTTCGAATTAGCGGCAATTCGGCATCAATTGCTTGAATACAA